CTTTCGGGGGTAACTTTCACTCTCTAAATAGTTTATTCGGCAGAACAAAAGTATACATGTATTTGACTTTTTGAGCGTCATAAAACATGAAATAACGAGCATAATCTGCGATTAACAACTGCTTATACTATATTGTATTAATAACATTAAGGAGTAGATTACCCTCGAAATAATAGTTAATAGGAAAACTCCGAATCACGTCAATTTTGTTTTATCATTTTCTACTAAAATATCATTTTAAAAATTTTTTTAACATTATTTTTTGATTTTGTAAGCTTTTGTAAGGTAAAAAGACACTTAAAAATACAGTTTTTTCTCTATACATCGAAGGGGTTGCAACCCCCGGGTCCAAATTGATGTGTGTCTATTACTTTTTTTATAAGTATCTTGTGTTTTTTTGTTTCATAAAGAAATATTCATTCCAATTAAAGATATTGCTATAGAACTGCTTCTGGGGCTGTTTTCTGGGGATGGATTTTTCCCTTAGATAGTTTTTTCCGCCGATAAAATAAATACGGGTCTTTTATTTTTTTACGAACTATAACATATCTCAATTGCAGAAAAATCGATGGCGGAGGGTTGGGGTGGTTCCCTAATGAGATAGTTTGAATTCAGTAATAATAAACACATAAAAACATAATTTCAAACAATATTTATACATTTTTCATCAAGAAATGGAATAATGTTAGGAAAATATTGAATTTTTACTGATGTTCAGAAAGATAGTTCATTTAGTCGTACATTTACCTTATATTAAAGGTTTTATATTTGAAAATTATTAGGATAGTATTCATGTTAACGAAAAACTTTGGAACTTTTAATTTTTTGTGGAATTGAAAGATGTTTAATTCAGCTACTATAGGCCGTCCAAATTTCAAAAAGGAAGAAACCTAGAAACACGATAGTGTATTTCCGTAAGTTTTCGAAGTGCTGAATCCAAATCTATCTTTCGATTTGATTCATCACTTAAGGCTCTCGAGCTATTCTAAACTAAAAGTGCGTAAATTACGATGCTTCACTACGTTCAAGGTTATGTAACACTGTGAATCAATTGTTTTTTCGAAAAACAAATAGAGTTGTGATAAAGTAGTACTCTTGCCCATTAAACCCATTTTTTGAATTAAAGCTAACTTTTTTTTTCATCAACATATCATTGATTGAAGTATTTTATCAATTTTGCAACATTATTAAAGCAACAATATTAAAACAATATTAAAAAAAAAGGTATTTAGACAAACTCAACGGCATTTGAAAAGGGATGATTTATACTTCAAGATGCTTTAAATAGTTTTTTGTGACAAAATTTATTTACGATGCTACATAACCTCAAATATGTCAAAAAACAGTATTTTTTACACGTTTAGGGTTAGGATATCTTATAAATCTGACATGATAGAATAATTCTGAGGCCAGATTTGGATTCAGCGCACCAAAATCTTTCAGGAATAGTATAGCTCACTTGTGATATAAAATCTTGTATACTTGTGTATCTTAACCCTCGACCCCTTTAACCTATGATTTATATGTTGTTACGACACTTTTGAAACATTTAACATCAATCAATGATATCTCAATGAAAAAAAACTCTCTAATCCAAAAAATGCGGTTTAATGAACAAAAGTGCTGTTTTATGATAGTTTTACTGGTTTTTTGAAAACATTTTATTTACAGTGTTACATAACCTTGAATACAGTGAAAGTAATTGTGATTTTTCCACTGTTAGGTTAGAATATCTTAAAGATCTTAGGTGATTAATCAATTTTAAAACCACATTAGGATTGAGCGCATCGTATACCTTATAATATTCTATCGCGTTTCTAGGTTTTTTTTAACGTTAGATAAAGGTAAAATAAATAGACATTTTTTGTAACACGATATGATTGTTTCAAGATCGGCATAGCGAGACTGACGTTTTCGACTGACACTGATTGAATGCATCATCACCATTTCACGAGAAGTAATCGTAGAAACAATATAAAAAAGAAACTCTTTGTAGCTTTTTCCAAGTACTTTTTAAATCACTTCTGTAAAAAATTTTTTATTTCAATTTAATTATTTAATACGCATTTTTGATTACATGAACATTAATTTTCAGCTGTCTATATTTATGGAATTTTGAATAATAGAAATAATTTTATTTGAAAGAAAATGCTATGTTTTTTTATAGGAAATACGGAACAATTATTTAGATTTTAGAAAATAACATTTTTTGTCTTAAATTTTTTTTATCTAAAACATTTGAAAACCTATAAAATAATTTTAAAATATTGCAATTATACAGTACCGCTCAATGACATTTGCCACCCTGTTAACAAGAACCTAACACTTTAAAGTTTTAGATGACTTTGGGTAGTTGTAAAAAACTCATATTGTGTGGTGTGTCACGTTATGAATCACATCGTTATATTTCGGAAAATATGCTCTTTATAGAAAAACTCTAAAGAAAATAGTTGTTGCATTTTGGTAAAAAAACCATTTGTAAACTGATAAAATGATAAGAAAATGATTTTTTTTCTTCATTTTTTGATTTGGAATTTTTTAATTTACACAGTGGTTTTATTTAAAATGTAAAAATTATTTATAATTCTATCACTTTGTTAATTAAAAATTAATTTTATAAACAATTGTTATTTGAAAATTTGTAATAAAGAAGTATATACAAATAAATAGAAACATCTAGTTAAAAACTCATTTTTATACGTCTCATTATTTATTTACCTTAATAATTAAGTTTTTAATGTTTTTTTTTTCAAAAATTTAATAAATTCCAAACCAAAGAAATGTAAAATAAATATTTTTTTATAGTTTTATTAGTTTATAAATGGTTTTTTTAACCAAAATGCAAGACCTTTTTTCTTTAGAGTTTCTTTGTAAACAGCATATTTTCCGAGATATAACGTTTTGATTCGTAACATGTGCTTTTTAATAAAATATGATATAGTTCAAAAAATCGTACAAAAAAAAAATTTCTCGGGCATGGGTTTTGTATCATTTGGGACAAGCTTTCAAATGGTGAAGACAAATCTTAAATAAACAATTAACTTTAAAGTCCATGAAAGAGGAGAAAACGTAATTTTTGACGAAAAAAAACATGACTTTCCAGTTATTGACAATTTTAATGATATTTTATGCTCATAGTAGTGACTTTCTATTTTCTAAAATGAAAGATGAAGACTGCGAAAAAAATGTTATCCAGATGAATTGTGCAGTGTGAAAAAAGAGTTGTCTTCTTTTTTCAAAATTCTAAAAAAATACGAGAAAGACAGATCTTCAAATTCCTTTTTATTCGTTTTCTAGCAAAACGAATTTATAATAGTATAATATAATATAATATTAATAATTTATAATAATTTCTAGCAAAACGAATAGCAAAATTTCTAGCAAAAATCAACCCTGTTTTTGTATTTTAAAAAAAAATATTGTTTTCTCAGATGAAACTACATGTCAATTAAACGGCGAAGTCAATCGCCATAACCTTAGATATTGGTACGACAAAATCCTCATTGGATGAGAGAAAGTCACATTCAGTATCCTCAAAAGTTAAATGTGTGGGCATAAATGGTAGGGCGATACAATAATAGGTTCCTTTTTTATCACAGGAAATTTGAACGCTGTAACTTTTGTGAAATCAGATTGTTTCAGCTATCCAGACGTTAAGATGTGATGATTTTGAAAATACATGGTTTCAAGGAGGATTAGGCTACGTCACACTAACTTGGAATCATTCCCATCCGTAAAATTTATTGCTCTTTTTGATTCTAGTATAAAAAATAGGAATTCCCAAATGAAAAAATGAGGTTGACCTTGAAACAAACTTGAAAATTTGGTTCAAGATCAAATCAGAGGTCACTGTTGGGTTATTGGGTTATTGGAAGTTACATAGGGTATGACCTTTATTTTATGGCTAACCTTATGCAGTTTTCCGAATTTTCCGGGGTTTCCATACTTTTTCCTCACCCTGTATAGAGAACATGTAAAAATATTTTTGAAAACTGAAATGGTTCTATGGCCTTACATGACCCTTTCATTAGAAAAAAAATAATTTTTAGGGTAAAATAATTAATTTTTTTGAATATTCTGAAACACTTTCTTTATATTTTCTATACATTTTCTTTCAAATAAACTTTTTTCTATCATTCAAATTTTCAGAGATACAGAGGCGAGAATCAATATTTTTTTAAACGGAAATATAACAGAGCTAAATTTAAATAAAAATATTTTCTACAGGAATGATTTGAAAAGTATTTGGAAAAAGCTATAAAGTAATTTTTTATATTTTCTTTCTGCGATTTTTTCTTGTAAAACGGCAAGGCATTTCAACAAGGATAAAAAATTTTTTTCACATTTTCATAACAGGGCGGAGGGGAATTTTTTTCAATTTGTGATGTACACCCAACGTGAATTGAATCGCGACCCCCCCAGTTAGGTTGGTATGAGTGCTACTTTCAGTCCGTAACGGTGGTTTTCAGATCGGCCATAGTATAACGCTCGTTCTTAAATTATATAATTAAAACCTAAAATCAAATAATCATGCATCTAAATTCATTGTTTGGCAAACAATTAATTTTAAACCTAAAAACAAATTAGTAACGTTTTAGCTTTTTATCGTATCTTAAAACGAATTTTCATTTTTGAATTTCATTTTTGAATCGTTCCGATGCAACGATGGAATTCTCATACCAACCTAACTGGGGGGGTCACGATTCAATTCACGTTGGGTGTACATACCATACTTGAAAAAGGGACCTTTTAAATGAGCCTTCGCTGACCTTTATAAGTTATTTTCCAACTAAGATATAACACTTTGGAGTTTGAGTGATTTAGTATTTAGGTGGACAAAAACTTTTGACGGGTAATGTAATTGATCACAAGCAATATGTAAACTTATTTGAAAAATGATATTCATTTAGAGTTGGATTAGGCTTTCAGAGATTAGCCTTAACATATCGTAGGAAAAACAGCAGAAATATGAAAGTTAATAGAATGCAACGAAATTTCAGTGACAACGCCACTGTTTACGCCTCCAGTGGGAGTAGCTAGTTCCGGCAGTGGAGGTCCCGGTGGTACTAGTGCACGAAGTTATGTAGATCCTCACACGTATGAAGATCCTAACCAGGCCGTCCGTGAATTTGCCCGTGAGATTGATGCAGGGTACATCACGATAGAGGCTATAATTGGTAAGATATTGAACAACTTTTTTAATATTTACTATATCGCAATGGTGAGGATTAATGCGCAAAGTTTTGAAAGCGCTTATGATTATGCACAATTTTTTAAAAATTCACTAAAATTGCTTTAATTACAAAAGTAACAGCAGCAACTATTCAAAAATACGAACATTACTATTATTTATTGTTAGAAGAAATGTAAACTGTCCGATCCATAATAAGTTATAACTTCGCCTTCCTACTAAATACATAACAATTTCTTGTGAAATAATATATTCACATATTAACGCAGTAACGCCGAAAATCACAGACTTTTTAACTCATTTTTTATCCTTTTTTCCAAAACGAAGAAGGGAATATTATCATGACCAAACCTTGTATACTAACTGTTTTCCGCTTTCTTCTTTCGATTCATTTTCGGTTTCCCTTTTCAATTCAAATTAAAAGTACATTTCCGTTCACTGGAAAATCAATATTTCAAATTTTATTCAAATCAGAACCAAAATATTGAAATTTTTTTTAAATCTTGTGTTTAAATATATAAATTACATTGATCTATTTTAAACTATGGAAATAGGAGGACAAAATAGTTATAGTTTATGAAAAAGAAAAATTTTGGTCTAGTTCCGTGGGTTTCACCTTTTCCGAAATGGCTGTAAACTACGTAAATGGAGAAAAACACGCACTATTTCATGTGATTTATAAAATAACTATATATTAGATGAAATTTTATTGATTAAACTGTTAAACTTTAGTTAATAAATATGTGTAGACCTTATCTAGTATATTTAACCTGATTAATGGTGAATTGAATAAGATGCTTGGAGAACTTGGGAAATAGAGTCTTTTCAAGATTATCGTTGATGATTATTTTTAGATCCTTATTAAATTCAGTATTGTTAAGTTTTTTGGCATATTATTTTAAAATTCGGCGATGGATAATGATGCGGTGACGCAAAACAACGGACCCATTATAGCGGACTAAATATTGAACATTTAATTATTTGCCAATGAAAAAACTATTTTCGTATTTTATGTAAAATTTATAGTCAAAAATGTCTCTAGCCATTTTACAAAAGATTATGGATGATAATTACAGTGATCTAAAGAAGTTAATATGCAAGAAAGATAAGGTTTTCATACTTGATCGGGACTTTCGCGATATAAAATAACAATTATAATAGAAAATGATGTATACCATGTTCTCATGTCAGCTTTGTAAAATAAAGATGAAAACCAGTTGTCAGCACCAGATTAAAATAAATCTCGACTTGTTTTATATTTCGATGGGCAGTAGAAGCTATTCAGGGTACTATAGCTCACAAGTACAAGTTTTTCATCACCAATTAAATAATCTTTGTCTGACTGACGCCTATCTACACTGCAATATAGTTTAATTTTACGTATATGTATGTAACCAGGCAGTGCCTAGATCGACACTGACGTCACAAATTCTTTAATAAAGGGGAGAGTAAGAGAGGCACTTTCGCTCTTACAATCGGGGAAACAGAGAGGACAGCTCGAATGAATAACTGATTGCATTTTCGAACAATGAGACTTATCTGTATTAACAAACTTAGTTACAATTAACTTAAAAATGTTGCACGCATAAACGCATATACGATTAAACCAAAGATGCGGAAAGGCGGATTGCCCGGCGACAGAATCGCCTTGACAATTCACTTCCTTACAATTACACAAAGAAAAGAAAAACCGATGATCTATTACTGCAGTACGATAAATATAACCGGCAAGTAATTGTCTGGCTATTTATCGATTCGAGCGATCTCACATCACGAGAGAGAGAGACGCACACACACACACACACAACAGAAGAGAGAGAAAACCTGACCTTTTCTTAGGCGACGAAGATGGCTGCCAGGACTTGATCTAGCTGCTGGCTTCTTCGTGGTTGCTGGCTGCTTCCTCGGAAGTTGTGCCACGCACGGAGTTGAAGACGGCTACGAGGTTCGCTGATAATTGGCGAAGGAGATGGAAAGTCACATAATCAAAGTTAAGTATAAGAACAACGGCAGGTCAGCTTATTTCAGCTAGCCGTATAAAGCGAAAAGTGAAAAGTGTCTGGCCGCACAAGTATTGTCGTGCGGCCGGCGATCGCGCTCTCGCTGGACTCTCCCCACCAAGTCTATTAATTAGGTGGCGTGCGACAAAAAACGCTAATTGGTCGCTCGACGCTCGCCTGCCTAATCCTGTATAGTGCGTGCATACGTGCGTACTCTATCTCTCTCGCTAACTCTCTCTCTCTAACACTTGGTCACTGCGCTCTCGCTCCCTCGGGTCCTCTCGATCTCATTCGTCAGTCTCTTTGGCGGTTGAAAAATATAAAGGCTAGTGGTTAGGCACAATAAAAAATATACGCCCAACGCTGACCACGTCGCCTTGCCGAGCGATAAGTGAGTGAGAGAGAGATTAGATTAGATTAGTTCGTTTATTGCGCCAATGAGGTGGAACCCCGTCTGGCAGTTTGGAAATGTACATAACAAAATAATAACAAAATTTAAACATGACAAAAGAGGAGATGCAAGGATAAATAGTGCATTTAACTATATGAAGAAGATGAATTACGTGAAAATGCATGAGTAGTATATACGGTGAGCAGCGAATTTCCAATGGCGTTAACAGTAAGCACTAAGAGTATATATATAAAACTAAAAATAGAATAAAATATGTGAAATATAGTAAAATAAAATATATAAAGAACAATGTAAATGAGTTATCAGATAAAACAACAAAATTAACAATAATAAAAGATGAAAAATAATATTAAAATAATAAAGACAATAAAGGTAATAGAGAATAATAAAAATAATAAGAACAAAATACTAAAAGTAGTAAAAAATAATAAAAGTAGCAAGAGTAGTAAAGATGCGAATGGCACTTGTTTTACAGAAGGGCGGTCTGAAAAGAGGAGAGGTATAAAGGTGGATCGACGTGCGTTTGGCCAGATAATAACCGTTCAATTAGCTATTTCATGAACCATAGGTCGATAGCGGGGTAAGTGTGGGACGATGGGTAATTTTGGGAGAACGCAACTGGATTGACTCTGTTTGGTATGCGAGTGTAATCGGACAGTGCCGGCACTGGCATTAACTTTTCGCGAGTCGCCCTCTCAATCCATGCTCCAGCCTCGTAGTTTAAGAATAGATCACGGGTCCAAACCTTGAAGTCAGGGATCCGATCGATGGAGAACAGGGTCACGCTCAGTGAGTTTAGTATTCTCTGAGCAAGGATAGCAAAGGAATGGTTCCATGCCTCAGTTCGAGGGGCCTTGTATTCAAACGCCGACGGCGGGTGGCGACCCGAGCGCCGGATAATGAGCGCTGGATAATAAGAGAGTGAGAGAGAGAGAGAAAGAGAGAGAGAGAGAGAGAGCATCCTGCTTGCCCTCGTTACATGTATTAGGAAAATGATAAGATCGTAAATTATATTTTTAATAAATTCTTCAAAATATAATAGTAGAATGAATTTATTCAAAAAGTATATAGAGGTCTGTTCAAAAAGTATCGCGAATTTAGTATGTTTTCAAAAATTATTTATTTATTCATGAATATCTATTTTATCTCCTTCAAAGTAATCCCCCTCGGATATATCGCACTTGTGCCAACATTTTTTCCAATCCTCGAAGCACTTAAAAAAATCATTTTTTGTGATCTTGTTCAGCTCCTTCGATGCCATCTTTATCTCCTCAATCGTGGCGTAGCGTCGTCCTTTCATCGGTCTCTTCAGTTTTGGGAACAGGAAAAAGTCACAGGGGGCCAAGTCTGGGGAATACGGTGGCAGCCGCACCATCACTCTGTTGTTTTTGGCTAAATATTCGCGCATAAGCAACGATGTGCAAGCAGGTGCGTTATCATGGTGCAAAAGCCAGTTTTTGTTCTTCGACAAATCCGGACGTTTCTGGCGGATTGCTTGGCGCAAATTGCGCATAACTTGCAGGTAATATTTCTTATGAACCGTACTACCCTGTGGCAAGAACTTATGATACACCACGACCCTGTAATCGAAGAAAACTGTGAGCAAAACCTTCACGTTCGTTGTTTTTTTCTAGTTTCCGTGGTGCTCGTTCAATGGAATCTTGTAGATTAAAATCAATGTCTTCCGAATTTGTAATTATATAACGTAAAGAGTTATTATTCAGTATTATTTCAGACTCACTGTTATTTTAGGATTTACGATGGAATTCATTAATGTATTCAATTTCGTAACTGCCCATAGATAAGGTTTCAGGTGGTTTGTCACCAACATAAAATTTATTTCTATTTACATTTATATTAAATATTGAATTGAATGTGTAATAGCGTCGACCTTCAATGCCCACAATTCGCTACTATTACCGAATTATTTAAGGGGAAGGTAAGGGAGGCGGTGTGTCGCTCCTAGAAAAGCAGGAAAGAGAAGGTGTAGACTCAATGATTTTCACACACTCAACTTCGTTAATTGATCGTTTATTACAACTACACTACCTTGAGTGCCGACGAGAATACAAAGCTACTTATTACTAATAATACACAAGACTTACGCTAAACGATATGACCGGCACGTTAGCGCCATGTCACCTCATTAACCGGCTCAAATTAAGATTACAATGTAAAAGACGTTGCGCCGGCTCGTGAAAGCCTGGCGCCGCACACAAGCCGCGGAACAATGCCGAGGAAACAGAGAGAAAAGAGAGGAGAGAAAACTAAACCTGACCAACAAATGTGATGGCTGCTTGGCAGGTGGGCTGCAGGTGAGTTGGCTGGCGTAAGATGCAGCCTAGTTTCAATGTTGTCACGGCTCTCACATTCTCTCGGATTCGTGGCAAGAATGATGGCAACTCGTCCAAGTGCGGCCGATCTCTCTCGCGTGCGTCGATCTCGTAACGAGTGCGTGCGAGTCGGCTTCTCACGCCTTTCCCCACTACTGTCCTCCTAATAGGCGAACTACATATATTTTCTTTTCTCTCTCTCTCTCTCTTTCTCTTACTCTTAATGTTTCCTTCCCATTTC